TTTAAGTAGAGAACATAAATAAAATTATGAAATCGGTTTATTTGCCAATAGGTTAAAGAAAATTCATAGAAATCCTAGATGATAAACTAAACTTTTCACTTTGTTTCAATATTCGTGCTTTGGAGAATGAAACAAATTAAAAACTATAGATAGCTAAGACAGAGAGGAAAATCCCTGCAGATATTTTATAGGTAATATATATCATTGTAAAACACATAGCTTCTGAACCCAACATTTATGAGATGTGTAAACTTGGGGAGTTTTATTTTACAACTCTATACCTCAGTTTCCTTATGCTCAAGATCATAATGGTATTTAACCACAGAGATATGTTGTATTAAATAAATTTACACTTGTCAGTGCATAAAATAGTGTCTGGCATGTAGCAATCACTTAAAAAATGTCAGTTATTACCTTATCAATTTTGAAGAGAATAGCCATTTTCCTAAAAACATAAGCTGACATTATCTAATGCAATGTATTTGAGGAAAGTTACTTTTCAAACATTAAAATATGTATTTTTTATAAATACTTCATTTCAAACACTTGGAAAATGTGTAAGATACATTTCCTTTTAGAATAACCAAGAGGACAATGGTGTAGTAATAAATTTTATTTTATGTACTATTCAAATTGAAGACTTAGCTTACAATGTGCCAGATTAGAATTTTATCTTTCATTTAGACATTTTTTTCTGACATTATGATCATTATATAGGTAAGCACCTTCAGTTTTAAATACAAGCCAAGTAAACATTTTGTGCATTTATGAGCAATATAAATTATTTGTCCAATGATGGCAATTACTTATTTAGTGGACACTGATATAATTGATATATAGTATGAGATAGTAATATTTCTATTCCATTGTGCTCTCTTTCAAATAGAATTATTTTTTTAAAAAAGAGAATATAGATTTGAGTTTAAATTTACTTTATCTAAAAATTTGGAAAAACCAGTCAATAAGAGCATTCCTGTTCCTCTCAAAGTAAATGCAAATGAACAACCTAGAAAATGGAATTTGTAATAACATTTCAATAAGTGAAAATCAAAATCAAATGTCAACTGCTCTGGCTTAAAGCAAATTGAATTATGAACTAAACCTTCACGCAATATAAATATATAAGAACTTAGCAAGCACCAAGAGTGTTCTTAGACACACCTACAATATCTATTCTGTGCAATAGCATTAAAAGTTTAGAAGTTACTCTGTAGGATATAAATAACTGTATGCATCTTGCCTCAAGCTTTGAAATATAAAGGGTTCTAACAGTTGTTTAACATCCATGGTGAAAACAGGAAATATCAATTTGATACCAGTCATGAAAACTATTGAAGAAAGAATATTTTACAGTTATAGTTTGCCTTTCCCATGTAGAAGATGATACTTTAAAATATCTTGGTTGAGAGGCAACAATACTTTAGTAGTGATTTTTCATATAAAGTATACCAGTCACTCCAAAATTTGGGCTTTATATTCCCTCTTCTTCGTATGTTCCCTTTGTCAAAAACCAGAAAATGAAAATAGCATACACATACATTTTTTGTGAACAGTCAAAATCAAATAAAATGATCGTAATGTTCTCATGCCTAGTAGGGGAGATTTAAGTCACAAATATTTTATGAAAATAAAATTTATAGGTGAGTATCCAGCTATTGATCTTCTTAATGGTATATGAGAGAGAATTTTTTTTTCAGTTTTCCTGTGATATAATAAAAACACATATTAATCACATACCTTTGCTTGGTATACCATGCTGCGCTATAAGAGTTAGCTAAAATATGTATATACCACACTCCTTTACAGTATATTACAAACAGATATTATTTTGAGTAGCTCGGGCCAGTTTAATTTTTCTATTTTATTCCTTCTACTTGGTAAAACGGTCAAGCTTCTTAGTAAATGTAAAGTTCATATCCTCTTCTCTGAGACAAAATAAGTCACAATAACAGCTATGAGATCATATCCACGTACTAGCCAACCTGACTCAGAGCGAATTAAATTATACACAAAACCTTCTTGCTATACAAAGACCTTCCTTTTCTTTAATTAAATCTCACCATTATTTAATTTTTAATTTTCTTAACTTTAAGATGATTTACATTTTTTAACATAATATTTCTTGATTTATATTTATGAAAACACAATTCTGTGTCTCTCTCTAGTATTACCATTGACTACTTTCATACAAGAGAAAAACAAAGCCAGTTTTTTCAAAACCGAAATTCTTATAGAATAATTGGAACTGGTCAAATGAGAGGCGAAATACACACACTGACAGTAGTACTGACAAAGCAAAAAGTATCCAGCCAAACTTAAAGAATTTCCTAAATTTGCTAACCATTATTTTTTAAACCAAGTTTCCACCCATCTACCCCCACCATTATATCAGGTAGAAGAGTCTAAAAGAAGATAGACCCCAAAGAGCAGTTTAAAATGCTTTAATTTTTTAAATGTGATACTGTTCTTTGTAAGGGTTCTTTCATATGTGATCAGTCAGAGATACTGACTTTTGTGAGTTAACACAAAAGTGAAATAGCACTTTTAAGTGCTGTCTCTCTTTGGAGATTTAATGTGCTTTGTAATATCTCTGAGATCAGTCAGGGAGAGACGAGAAAAAAGAAATTTGATTTTGAGTCTGGACCAAAGCTCGGTGACTTGAGAGGCACCTAAACATAATGAAAAGGAAGAAGTTTCAAAGAGAAAGTTGGCAGCGATGACCAGAATCCACAGGGCTAGCAGGACTGACATCAACCAGAGGCAGATTTAGAGGGGTACCCTATGATCTCTCTTGATACCATTGACACTTCAAGACCCAGTTTCATTGGGGAACAGTCCACTAAAAGAACATCTCCAAAGGACACAGCATGGTTGCGGTATTGAGAAAGACATGAAAATGCCAGCACCAAGGGCCTAATGCTGTCCTTTTCTCCTCCAAAGATCACATATATCTAGGGGAAGCAAAAGTCAACATCTGAAACCTGCTTTTTCAAGCTTGACTTGAATGATATAAAGTTGGCCATATAATAGCTAGATGCTTACCTTTCTGACCTAGGTTAAGTCTAATCTAAGAACAAGTTATTAGCTGATTCTTGGTAGTCTTCACTTACCTCCTGGTGAATAAGTTTTTACGCTAGCTCTTTTTAAAATTAAAGTAACTGTCAGCTAAATTTCTGTCAAATACTAAAAATCAGCACAGAATGCTTACATCACTTTGTTGTTGCCAATGTTTTCAATGATATGTGTATTTCAGCCCACAATTCTGACAGTTGAAATTGATGGCCAAATAGGTATGAATGAAATATAAATTCTAAATTTGGTATAAATAGTACAAATAATAATAATAATAATAAGTAAGTTAAGGAAATGATAGAGCTATTTTAAGCTGGAATGTTTGTATCAACAAAAGGGGTGGGTGCTTGAGTTCCATAGACCAGCCCAGTGTACTTATACATTACCTGAAAAAAAAAATAGAATAATAATATTAATTACACATGGGAGTTAAAAATTATGGATCAAATAGATGCATTGTGATGATATCTATTCTAAATGGCATCTCTTCTCAGTTATGTAGGTTAAATTTCAATTAAATTATGACTACAGAAAGATTTACAAATTTGCTTATATGAGAATTATATTGGAAATAAATTAAAAAATTGAGTTATTTGTCAAAATAACTAAGGTAAAAATATCGCTTTTAGTCTAGATGTTCAGACAATTGAAGGAAAGAGCTAGTAATTACCATTTTAAGTTTTCTTATATTTAGCTTCATTATAAAACACAGAATTTTGTGTCTACCTTCAGTATTATTAGCTCCAGGATATAATGTTGAATATATCTTCACAACATTAAAACAGCTGGTTAATTTTCTATAAATAACTAGCTAAATTTAGTGAAAAATGTAATAAAATATCTTCTTTCATAGAACATTATTTATTCGACTATCTTTTAGGAGATTATCTAAAGTCAACACCATACTTCTACTATCGTTAAGGTATTTATTTTTGTGGAGTCAATTTCAGAGGAATTCTTAAGGAACATATTTTTTTGAGGTGGAAGTTTGTTTTCTTTTACTTCTTGAATAAACTGAGATGTTATATGTGATTTGAGTTCCAGCAACAAGCTGAGTATATGGGGCTTCTTCTCCTATCATCAAAGTTCGAACAAGATTGTCTGATGGCATTCTAAATACTGGCAAAGAATGCATGACCATTCCAAAAAGTATTAAAAAATATCTTTCTTAAATGTAAACCTTCGCTCAATTTTGAAAAGAAAGTTGTCCTGCTGGTATTTACAAAACTGCCACATTCAGGAGCCACATACCCTAGTTATGAGTATATAATTTTAAGCATGCATTATTATCGGTCAACTAAAATTCCATCAAAAATTAAACACATCCTTGTTATTTTGAAGTATCTTTTTTATAATCTATTTTTTAAATAGCTAGTTACAGTTTTAATAATCTATGATTTTCCAATTAATAATATCTGTTTTCTTTCTAAAAAAAAATTAGGAAATCACCCACTCATTCTAATAAATATAAACTAAAAAAAGAAAAACCTGTGGTGAAAATGGGTAGATATGTCATTATCTTTTCTAATTATATGAGTATAGGTATTTTCATATATGCCTCTATATGAATTTTGATGTCAATTATTTTGTTTCACATCTATTCAAGTGCAACTACATACCAGATTTCAAAGATACAAAAAATGGAATCCAGAAAACAGATGAAATTCTTATTCTCTAGGAATATACCATCAAGTAAGAGGAGACAGAATGTGTTAAGTAGTAATAAATTATGTGAATAAAATCAAGGCAGAGCACAAAAATAGGACTGGGATGGGTCCATGCTTAATAATTGATATTTCTCCAGTTGGATTTCCTATCATGATGCCCTTCCTGCTCAATACCAGAAAGTTTTATTTTGCCTAAAATACTAAGTGAAAAGATATAACAAGAAAATTTTAGCCATTAAAAACTGATTGGAGTTGGCCGGCGCCGCCGGGCGCTGCGGGCTGTTGGCCGGATCCCTGGGCCGAGGCGGTGAAGTATGCTATGTATAAAAGTGGATACATTCTATGACAAATGAAAATGGCCAATTCTTTAAGAGGAGAAGTACTGAATCTTTACAAAAATCTGCTGTATCTTGGACGAGACTATCCAAAAGGAGCAGACTATTTTAAAAGGCGCCTGAAGAATGTTTTCCTTAAAAACAAAGATGTGAAGGACCCAGAGAAGATAAAAGAACTTATTAAACGGGGTGAATTTGTAATGAAAGAGCTAGAAGACTTATACTTCCTTAGGAAATACAGAGCTATGAAGCAGCGCTATTATTCAGATGTAAACAAAACCAACTGAATGCTGTAACTATGATTTGAAAATCAGCTGTTCATAGCAAATATTATAAAACTAAATCTGACCTCACATAGCAAGGTACACATGTACCGCAAAAAATACCTGATGTCCTTACTAACCGATAAAGATTTCAGCTTCTGTTCACAGTGAGTTTTCTCAGCAACACTTTATACTCAACTTTTATTTTAAAATAGAAGTTTAAGCTATATTGTTGACAAATGCCAATTATAAATTAAAGATCACCCAATTCTGAATGAAAATGGCACTTAAATTTAGCTTAACAGGTTTTTGCCAATTTTTCTTAGCCCGTTTCTCCATTTTACTGATAACAGAATGGCATTTCATATACATTTAACAAAGCAAAATAATTTCTTGAAAAGTCACTCCTCTTACCTTTTGAAAGAGTATTTTTTTTTTTTTGGACTACTTTGGTACATAAGCAGCACATATTCAAGGTTCACTACAAAACAAATAGCACCTGGTAATAATTTAAGTAGAGTGACAAAGAATAGTGTGTATGGAGCAAGAGTAATTCTGATCTCAGAATTGCTTGCTATTATTCAATGTGATTGGTATTACATATGTACCTATTCAGTTATTTCCATGATTAATTTCACTGCTGGCTCCCTTTGGGCCTTAAAACAAAGATTACCTGTTCTGTATCAACTACCTTCTGTGATTAAAAACTAATAAACAATGCTATTCTATTTTGTCATAAAAAAAAAACTGATTGGAGTTGAATCAGATATATAAGATCTTAAAAGTCTTAAAAACATTGAAAGTCCCAATTCAACTAATATATAATGGTCAGAATTATGCTAAGTCACTTAATTTACAGATACACACCCCTTTATTTAAGGCTTCTCTAGTCATTTGGCTGCTTATTATTATATCGATAGTTCTAATATCTACAACGTGAGTCAATAAAATAACATTTTAGCCAAATTTTGTTTAGTTGCTATGTTGTACATCATTATAAGGCAATAGAATTATTAGAATGATATTTATTCATGTCTCCTCTTTAATTTGGTGACTTTAGGGGAAACTATATCTCTCCTGGCTTTAAAAATGCTCAGTAATTTCTGAATTCTAATTAATTTAATATTGCTAGAATTATCCTATCTTTTTATCTTAAAAATGCTCAATTTCTCCAAATTAAACACAATTCTTAAAATAATATTGCCTTCACTGGTTTAACAAAATAATGATTTTTTTTCTACTAAAATGTAGCAGGTATAGAAAAATTCTGTGAATTTAATGATTGCAAATTGTTTCCAGTAACAGCCAAAATTGTAATAAACAAGACTCCACTATCACCAGTTTCTTTTAACTCCATGCTCCTTAAGTAATCTACATTGTCAAATAAAAAGTATGATTTTCATAATTTATGTTTTTAAAATATGTCATTACATTTTCATGAACTATTATTAGTTTCTAACTTAAAGGAACTCTTTAAAACAGCTTGAAGGAAATACTGAAGAGAAACAAAAGTGGCAAGAGCAGCTGTTCCATAAGTAAATACGAAGTCCAGCTTTTCTAGATAAATATTTAATTAAAATGGAAACATTTCCTGAAGTCCTTATGTTCTACCCGATAACACTACATCCCTGAACTTCATACCCTACAAGTGATAGTTGCTATGAGACTTGTTTGTAATTTCAGAAATAACTATAATTAGTATAGGATTCCATGAATTCATGGAAAACATTCTACATATAGCATCACATTCATCCTCTGTACAGTCTTTAAAACCAGTTTCAACAGATTCTTTGAAGAAGTTAATTTGATCCTGATACTTCAAATCTTACAGTGGATGGGTGAGAAGATGTAGAAGGAATTTTATTTCACATTTCAACTCTGCCATATCCCTTTTGCACCATAGAGGAAAAAAAAACAGATAGGATTTTTCAAATGATAGTTCTAAAAATATGAGCTATTGGCCCAATTTATTTCTAACTCCATTGATAGCTTAAACAGCAGCTTTTATTATGAGAAAACATGTTTATAATTATGTTCCACTTGCTGTCTTTCTGTGTTATTCACTGTCCCTGAAGAGAAAAGGCATATCCCACAACTATATCTAGAGGGAGGACATGAACCAAAGTTCACTTATCAGAAACGATGCATATCTAAACACCTCAACCATGATGAACATAGGAATTTCTCAACTATTTATTTTTATTTTTCTCAAAGCATTTACATTGAATAAAACGAGCCATAGATGGTGACAGATTTTGTGTCACCCTTCAAAGATGTATCATCTACTGCTTGAGGCCAAGAAATGAGTAGTTTCCATAATTAGTAAGGGAAATTGAATAATTGGACTGTGGTTTATGAGAGGGATTTTTCCTCTAAGAAGGAAAACCATGTAATTCTTAAGTTCCAGTCAAGTGGCCTTACTTGATTTATTCTTTATAAGCAAACAATTATCTCATGCTCATTTAACATAAGCTACAAATAAATATTAAGAATGGAAAGGTTTTTTTCCTCTGTCACCAGAAAATCCACAGAATAATTTTCTATTCACTTAGATTTTTTTAAATAAAAATATACTGTGTTAATTTTAATGTAAATTTAGAGTAAAATGAAGGAAAATAAATGTACTCTAATAAATGAAACATTCAGGAGTCAATGTATAAATTACAAGACTGTGAAGAGATAAAACTAATTTGATTCATATTTGTGTCTGAGACAAAGATTTTATTTTGAATGAATACCATTTACAAATATACGTTTAGCCATTTTATTCCCAAATTGTATTATATAGTAGAATGCATTTTGCCTACAGAAAACTGTAAATTATTTATAACTGATGATGAACTAAAAAAGTATTTTTTAAAAGATTTACCTCGTTTATTTATGCATACAAAAGCTGGGGTGTAGGCCAGAGGTGGGTTGGAGGGGTGAGTGTATTCACCAGAGACAGAGTGGGAGCAGAACAGGCGGATTGACTGTTCTGAGGAGAACAAACTCCTGCTGCAGTGGCTGCAGATAGCTTCATAGTGCCAAGACTTAACCCTTTGCATCACCCGGGAGGCCTTTTATCCATTCATTTGTTAATTTATCAATTCAGCTAATATAAATTGAGTGCCAACTGTGTCCTGAATGCTAGGTATGTATGTGTCAAGATAAAACACTCACTATACAGGTATTTATAGTCTTACTCCATGAAGGAAATAAGCAATTATTGTTACCTAATTTAAACCTACAAGATTTGCTCTAATTCAAATTTTCTTTTGAGATTTTGAGAAATTGTGCTTCTTTTATTAATTTAATAAGTTAACATTGGTTTCTTCAAGTAATAAATGATACCCTGAACAAATATCCAATCACCTTTGTGTGTGCTTCTTTGCAACTTTCTGATCTGAATTTGATTATGGAAAATGTTGAATAAACACCAGCTACTGTCTAGTTTACTCAACAACTCTTAACATAATATTCAATCATTCTGCCCTCCATGAACTTTAAGAAAGGAGCATTCAAAAGGAGTTTTGGGGCCTTTAGAAATCAAATACTAGAAAAAGAATAAAAGTGGCAGTGTCCTATAACACCAACATTGATGAATTATCATTGGTGTTAATTTATAGAGAACCTTTAGGTTTTTGAGTCCCTTAAGGCCCATATAACTTTTTACATAGGAATCAGTCAATGAATTGTCATATACATATGGGAAAAAACAAACATTTGTGAAAATTATATGAGCCTTAAGGCACTCAAAGCTACTTAAATAAAGTGTGTGTGTGTGTGTGTGTGTGTGTGTGTGTATTATAGTACTTGACCTCTGGAAGTTTATTTTCTTGGTGCCACATATGTGACTATATATGTATTATGCTTATTTGTGAGTGTATATACATGTACATAAGGAATATAGGAATTAAACTTCTGGAGCCTCTTAAAACTTAAACTTTTCCTGATAAGTTTATTTAGTCACTACAGTTAAGTCCTAGTCTTTTTTCTGTTCTCTATTACCAATCTGACAACAATAATATGTTCAATAGTATCATGAAGTCATTTCCAGGAATTCCATTTCAAAGAAGCAGTAGCTTTGGGTATACATGTAAAAGTTGGGGCAGGGCAATTTTTTTTTTTTTTTTGTGGGACACTCACCGGTTGCGGGGGATTGAACTGGCACTGCAGAGGCTGCAGGCAGCCTCGCAACCCAGCTCTCAACCACTGCGCCACCAGGGGAGGCCCCAGGGCAAAATTTGGTGTAAATCATGATAACTTTTCTAGAAATATTGTAGTGGTTGTATATCACAACTATAAAAATTTAAAAGTTAGATTAGTTTGGTTTCATTAAGAAGCTTGATTTCCAAAATAATGTATATTTTATTAATTTCTCTAAGAAATTTTTGCTTAGCATTTTCATGAAATATTGTTATTGTAATATATATTATATTATTACTTCCATCATATTAAGAATGTACTAATACGTTGGCAAAAACATCCCTGTGGTTTTCCTTGTATCTGCACTGCTAAATTATTTCTTTTTTTAATAGCATTTATTTAAAAATTATATAAGAGTGGGGCATTTATCAATCCCTCTATTTTTTCAAGAATTTAATAAATACATCCATAACTATTATTCTGCTTTTTAAGAAACCATTATGTTGATTCATATATGTGTTTTCCTACAACAGCATAGCTAAGATACTTATTTTCATAGAATGATCACTTAAGTTTTAAGTAGTTGATCATAGTCATTGTCTAGTCTCTAAATCTGAACAATAATGCATATCAAACTGAGGAATAAGTAGTTTTCCCTTGAAGCTAACATATGTATACATTTTTTAAAATGTATTTTTCATCTTTGTAATACCTCTTCCATCTCCAGATGTAATACCTCTTCCATCTCCAGTAGTTTCATGGTGTCATTAATGATTATGATGATAACAATAATAATAATAACAGTAGTAGTTTCATGGTGTCATTAAAGATTATGATGATAACAATAATAATAATAACGCATTTTACTTTTTTGGTTGAGGTGACATTTGGACCCCCACAACCTGGTATCACCACTGTAGGACACTCACCATCATGGTCTTATTATATCACTTCTTATATCTATTCATATTATTTTAAGAATAAACATTTTATATCTGTTAACTGTCTGCCAGGTATTTGCAGATTTTTATTTATTATGTTATTATATTTTTAAGCCAGTAGACTGCTAAAATTGCTATTTTAAGTCAATAGACTGCTTTGCGAAGGATGGTGTGTCCTTAGAGACTAACCTAAAATCCTTCAGGAAGATATAATTTATGGGCAGTTACATTTACGTGAAAAGATGGTTTTCTTTAATGATTTAGCAATCATTTATTTGACATGTACTATATACAAAATACTGAAAATGGAGGGGTCTGCTGCACCATGTGGGTAGCTCCCTGCCCTGGGATTGAACTCGTGCTGTAGTGTCTGCACAGCTTCATAGTGCTGAGACTTGACCTCTTGCACCACTAGGGAGGTCCAGAATGGAGTGATTTAAATGTGAATACAAATTTTAATCATTTTATAATTCTATACCTTGGTATAATTTTGAAAAAGACATTGCAATTGTTCATTCTTTCAGGTGACTGATTTGCATGTTTGAAGAGTAAAGAAGTAAACAAGACACATATTGTTGAATACTATTGCTCAATTTGATTGCATTTTGAAGAATTCTTAAAATACATCATTAAATGTTTTGTTTATGAAAAGTCA